GGTTCAGACAGTGCATTTAGCCCCCTTACTCAGATTATCCCTCAGGTTTGTCCATTGCCTCTACAATCCCTTAGTAACGAATATCACGCCACGTTGTCTGGCCATGAAGCGAACCGAAGGCTGCTCGAGAACCAGAACCGTCAGGTGGTAAGAAATTGGAAGCTCTGGCACTGCTAGATGATGCACTTCAGCACAAAGTTGTTGGTCGTACATGAATGTTTACTTCGGATCCCTGTTTGATTAGTTTGCAGCGAACGATCGAAGGACTCCCTCAGTTGTCCAAGAATGATTTGCTCGAAAATCTTCTCCAGCACCGACGGCAAGATGGTGGTTCCTCGATGATTGGTATAGTCAGCGTCAGCTCAACTCTTGAAGATCGAGATGATCACGTCATAATTCCAATCTTCAGTGATAACCGACTTTCGCCTGATGTGGTCAAAAACCGGATGGATTCAACGCAGAAGGCTTTAGCCTCGATACTCCAGTACTTCAGCCCTAATATCGAGCTTCCGAAAGTCGTGTCACCTGTCAGATGTCTTCCATCGATGGTGGAAAGCAGTTAGCACCGAGATCTTTTACAATTTTTTCTTAAATTTTGAGATTTACTGGAGAATAAGACCTATGGAAGAGCTCATCGAAGTGTTCGGATGATTGATGGCGAAAACAACCTCTCTAAACTTGTGTAGAACAGAACAGGGATAGACTTTTGTAATGAGTAGTTTTGCCACCACTGGTGATGATGTTCACCTGGCCATAGAGCAACTTCCGGTTATTTCCTTTCACCGATGCGATTTCAGCTTCTGCATTTCGAGGTTCAGCCCTCGTTGTCTGCCCTTGCGTAGCTCCTATTGTTGGTCTGACAAGAATGCAATAAACCCTGTTCTTTGTCACGCACGGATTACATCATGACACCTAATTCGCCATGACGAAGATGTAAAGTTCGCGTCGTGACTCACGGCTGTTTCGTCTTTCTGACTTTTATTCCGGTGGACTTAACAGCAGCAACGACGGTGCTTTCCTTATGAAGGGTGTAGAGTAGCTCTGAGATTTGGTCACCTTAAAGCGTACATCAGTGAATCATCATCTATCGATATCAGTCTGGAATGCCTCGTAAACGACAAGCTTCTTCATTTTATCTTTATCAAAGCAACCGTCCCCCTTTCCAAGTTGTTCTTCTAGTAGTTTCCATGCGAAGTCGTGACCGCTAGGAAAAGGCTCAGTACCAGTGTCCGCATTTCGTTTCGTCTGAGTGTCGTGGAGGACTATAAACGTGTGATCAGTTTTGCATCTGAACTTGCCTCCTGGCATCTTATACATTTGTTAATGGTGTGAAAGCAATATGGCGTCCAACTGATGAGGAAGTCATGCGTAGTGCAATGGTCTATCAGGTGGTGACTCTTGTTACTGCCACAACCGCTTCCGTGTCGTCCTATCAAGCGAGGTCAGCTGTTATGGTCCACGTGGACGTGGGCGTTGAAGTCACAGGCGACGATCGATAATTGATGCCGCGGTAATGACCCAAGAACCGCATGGCATTATTTTAATTGTCTGTTACCATTTCCTATAATCATACTTATTCAGCAGTCAAATGAATGGGGAGTTTCCGTCAATTCTTTCAAACTCTATTCTAATTTGGCTCATACAGCAACTATGCATAATTCGTCGAGCAAGGCAATACATCTTCTTCATCTTCATCTTCCATCGCAGCTGCTCCTTTCGGGGCGCGAAGGCAGACACTTCAGACAGAGCTTCCAAAGTTTCCTATCTTGTGCCAGAGTCTGAGCTTCGGCAAAAGACAAATGCAGTCTGGAACAGACTCCTTCCATATATTTGCACC